TTTCTGATGAAGGGTCTAGGCCCGAAACGTCAGCCTCTCTGCTCCTATGATGCTGCTTGGCCTGCTGTGTTCATCCAGCCCTGCACATTTTGAGGAACATTCTTTTGTCAGGGAAGAGGTAATTTCTCATTTTTGCCTATAGGGGTCATCAACGAGCGTTGTGGCGACAGCATAAATGCCCCAGTTCCCTGACACATAAATCCAAGAGGTACTTCATGTAGCGCTGATTTCCGAATGCTATTCGGACTGCTAAAGCCCAATGTCGTGGGCAGCAAGCATGCATACATTTCTAGTCAGAAGTATTTTGCCTGCCATTATGGGCTAAGATGACAAACAGGAGGTGTCGTCTCTCCCCAAAACCATTGTGTGCTGTACCAACACCACATGGATTACATTGTTCAAAAACACAGCTCATCATCGTCTTCTCAAGAACAATTCAAAATGGGTAATAAATGTTGGCCTTACAAGTGATGCTCGCATAAGACCATAACATACAGGAGCAAAATTAGTTCATTTGACGCATGGAATCTGCTCCACCGTTCAATCGTGGCTGATATGTTCCTCAAACCCATATTCCTACCTTCTCCCCATAACTCTTGATCCCCTTATTAAAGAAGAACTTATCTTTCTCTATCTTAAGTAAACTTGATGACATAGCCTCCACAGATTGGCTGAAGAAATTACTCCTCATCTTGCAAATTAAAACAAAAAGGCATTTCATTTGAATGTGCACACGGTTCAAGTTTGAAGTCACCTTTCCAAGATTTGTTTGATTTGAATCAGCTAAATCTTCATGGGTTGCACCCCAGTAACAAAAAGAATGTAAATGAAATTGCTTGACTGTTTACCTGGAAAGAACAACTTACATTGAAAAAAAGACCTCCCCCACAATTCCACTTCCTCGCTGAATCAAGAATACTGTCAATTCCAGGCACTAACAGCTGTAATCCTACACCACTGTCCCTACACCAGGCTGAGCTCCCTGGTTTCATATTTCTCTTTACCCTAGCACTCCCTGCACTGATTCTTAATAACGTTTCAGACATCCTTCTCTGGAGTCACTTACCATCAGTGCTATGGGAGTATCCTCATTCTTAACAACACTTTCTTGAATGCTTATTACAATGAGACTAAGTTCTAGACTCTGGAGATGTCATATTCCTAAGCTTTGCAATTTCATATTGGGGAGTGACCAAATCGTCAATCTCTCCCCATGAATTCCTATTGCACTCCATTACTGATAATCTAGCAAAATACTTATAAAGCTTGCATGTATTAGACCCATGAATTACTACAATTTATTTTAGTTAGTTTGTTAATTCTGTCGAAAAACGGATATACTCCCATTTGAGAAGAATTTATCCCTCAACATACTGGTTACAACAACTACCCTTTAACGGTTGTATCTAAAATGGAAATTATTTGCTTCTCTGCTGTGTGACCACACGTAAGTGGCGAGCATGAGCTACATATAGCTAGAAGGAGTTGTAATTTTAACACTGGCTATACATTTTGTGTAAAGTGTTTTCAATTATTAATTTGAAGAGGTAAAGTCCTATTTTGAAGAGTCAAAACTGACTTGTATTATCAAACTGATTGGTACAGTTAATTTGGTGCCTAATTATTTTAGATATTTATTGTGGTTTAAAACATTTAGTAAACAAGTTATATATTTATATTGCATATTGCAAAGTGTACATATGTATATTTGCCTGGATTTGTTTGAACATTTTGATGCAAAAAAATGCTTTTTTTCAGCACTTATATGGCCTTTGATGAAATTCTTTGTTAATTTTGTTAAGTTGGTTTCCTTATAGTAAAGGTACCACTACTTCTCCTGCAAAGTAAGGATAGGATCGAGTTCTTCTGGAGCTCTGTAGTCCTTTGTTATATTCCATGTGAAATTAAACACCCAGTGATAAAGCTTAATTGGGACTACTTCTGTGATTTTTGTTCTTGTGGTCTAAAGTGATTTTGCATTCAAATTTAAACAATATGTAATCTCTTTCATAATTAGTATATTCGAGTGTTTACATTCTCCACCTGATTTGCAGTTGGCAGGACAAATGCTTAGCCTATTTATTGGTTATATGACCTGTTACCAAGTGAGACTTAAACTATTCAGTCATAATTCAGTGTTCTCTTGCCCTGTAATCAATAGCTTCCAGGGATTTTAGCACATGATTTTGCAAGACTTGTGAAAATATGTAGCTCCACGTGCGATTTTAACTTTGCAAGTAACTACTTCTGACTAGGAGCACAAGGTTGGGATCTGATCTCTTCTAGCCTTACCTTACATCATTACTTATTGAAAATTGGGAGAAAGTGGCACAGCTACAAGAGGCTGGATATTACTGTTGATGCCGCTGTGAGTGAACAGACATCTCCAGTGCGAGTTCAAGATTTGGAATTGCCTGACAGGGTGCTGGATACAAGTTCAACACTAGCTTTTGAAAGGGAATTGTATGCCTGAGTGAGAAAAGGTTGCTTCAACTGTTCAAAAAGCCAGCATGGACTCAATGGGTAAAATGGATGACTGCTGTATTGTGCAAATCATTAATTTTAAAATTTCACATTATTATACAGCCACTGAGTAAAACATTGACCAGTTCAAGAGAGAAATCAACATGAAAATATTAGTCATTCATGAAATAGTACTGGCAGCACTAATCTTTGGAAGATGGACCATCTATTGAAAGTTGTGTTTGTTACTTCGCATGAAACAGTGTCTCGTAAAGCAGTGGGGAAACAAGAGCCAAGATTATTCATTGCTGTATGCCAGGTATCAGGCATAACCTGCACACAACGCTGCACATGTCCTTACTTGCCCATGCTACTATTGGTGTTTGAATGAATGAATGACGATTTATTATCGCTCGTAGTTTACAATGAATAACACAGTAAAATACAGTGAAAAGCTTCAACTGTCGCCACAATCTGCCACAATTTGAATATTTTAAGAATAAAAAGTTAAAGCTGAAAGAAAGTCTGTCTTTGTTCCACCATCTCCATCCTGAGCCGGCTGACCAACGACACCTGTGCCATCACTCCTCCACTGCCCGCGCTGGACCCACCAACATTGGAGTCATCACTCTGGATTTACTGGCAGAAGTGGCATTTCATTTCAAATTGGACAGGCATTCTCACAAACCCATGCAAATACCTCAGCAAGTGCAAAGCATCACAAAATGACTTTATTAATTCCAACGTTTCACGTTTTGAAATTAAGCTGGGGAGGAAGGTTATTGACATCTACTACCACCCCATTTATGCTGAGTGAAGGGGACTGATAAAATATGAAAATATGGTGTTTACTCTGAACCTCAACTTTGGTGGGCATCAAAATAAGTGACCAGGGTTCCTGTACAAACCAGCCAGGAGACTTTGTAAAATATTTCATGTGGAGTCCCGCACTGTGTGTAGAGACAGTTATGGTGGCTCACAGGGCAGAATATGTGTTCCCCTTTGGAGAATTAAGTGTTAAGCAGCTTTCTGGTCTGAAAAGCCCAAAATAAACTTGAAGCCCTGATTTCTATGTTCCTCCAGCAGCTTCAAATTCTAATCATCCAGTCCACTTCACTTTGTTATCTTCATGCTTGACTCCATAGCTGAACATCGTATTTTTTCCTCCCCTTTCTAATTGGCAAGAGGCTTTTTAAAAAATTCTGTGCTGACAGCTTGTTCATCAAATTAAATGAGGCATGCCTTTGAATGTGGCTTGGCCCTCTCACTGGTACCATCATACAGGCAACGTCGTTGCTATGCCCAGCACCCACGCATTCTGTGCTATAGACAAATCCATTCTGAAATCTTTAATAGTGGAACATTGATGCAGTACACTCATCAGTGAACTCATGCACCATTCAGAGTGACAGAATGCAAGATTACTCCTCCGACTACACATTTTAAGCAGAAAAGTGAACATATCTTTAAAATGAGGAAGAAAATGAGAGGCCAAATCACTCAGTTCATTTTTAAACTACCTCTGAGTGTCTTTTACATAAGAAGCATGCATTTCATGGCAAATATGCAATTCCCCACTCCTCCCCACCCCAGTACGTGAGATCATTTTCACAGGAATATGGGGATTTAAATTGCTACGGATGTGCGCAGTGTGATGACTTAATTGAAGCTTTCGCTTTCACTTACATCAGAACTGCCTGTATACATGATGCAGTGGAAATGGGAATTAATGACTTATAGCAAGAGAAGCCATTGAGTGCAACATGTCTGTGCCAGCATTTTGCTAAGCATTTCGTTTTGCCCATGGACACAAACACTAATTCTGTAAAAACAAAAGGCACGGAGAGTGGAAACTTTTCGGGTCCTGAGAGAGATGGGTTCTGGCAAGATTTGTGGCAGAATTGGATGAGAAGTCTGATGAGGTTAATGTTGACATGGGGAGCATCTTGCTTTATTTCATACTTTTCACAAACAAGGTGGTGAGTTTTTTGTTAGACAGTGGCAAGATACCAGTTAAAGGGGATAATTGCAAATTAAATGCCTTCTTGATGGCTCAACTAACTTCACTAACGTTCTTATGAAACT